TTTTTTTTTTTTTTTTTTTTTTTTTTTTTTTTTTTTTTTTTTTTTTTGACACTGCCTCTGTCACTGAACCCAGAGCTTCTTGATTCAGCCACATGTCTGGACATCAAGTCTCATGTAAACTCCTATCCCTCCAAAGACACACACGGTATATACTCACTCATATAGACATGTAATATAAGATAAACCTACTAAAATCTGTACATCTAAAGAAACTAATCAAGAAAGAGGACCCTGACAAAAATGCTCAATTTCCATCCCGAAAAGCAAAGAGGAAGGACATCAGAAGAAGAAGAAAACAGGAAACAAGCTAGAAACCTGCCACAAAGGGCCTCTGAAAGGCTCTGCCCTGCAGACTATCAAAGCAGACGCTGAGACTTAAGGCCAACTGTTGGGCAGTGTGCATGGAATCTTATGTAAGAAGTGGGAAATAGTAAGATCTGGAGAGGACAGGAACTCCACAAGGAGAGCAACAGAACCAGAAAATTTGAGCACAGGGGTCTTTCCAGAGACTGATATTCCAACCAAGTATCATGCATGGAGATAACCTAGAACCCCTGCACAGATGTAGCCCATGGCAGTTCAGTATCTAAGTGGGTTCCATAGTAATGGGAAGAGGGACTGCCTCTAATATAAACTGATTGGTCTGCTCTTTGATCACCTCCCCCTGAAGGGGGAGCAGCCTTACCAGGCCACAGAAGATGACAATGCAGCCAGTCCTGATGATATCTGATAGACTAAGATCAGAAGGAAGGAGAGTGGGACCTCCCCTATCAGCGGACTTGGGGAGGGGCATTCATGAAGAAGGGAGAGGGAAGGTGGGATTGGGAGGGGAGGAGAGAGGGGCTCATGGGGGATACACAGTGAATAAAGTGTAATTAATAATAATAATAATAATAATAATAATAATAATAATAATAACCTCCTACCCCTCTGCCTCCTAGGGCTGGGCTTACAGGCCTACGATGGCATTTCCTGCTTTTTAAATGTAAACCCTGGGACTTTGAACTCAATCCATTATGAATGTACTGTAATCACATTTATCTACTGAGCTACCTCCTCAGCTCTGAAAGGAGTTTTGTTGTACCAGTAGTGGTGTAACACTAAAACAAGCATCTCTACAGACTGAAATACAGTCAGCTTTCCATTTCCTGGGTTGTCTAGTCCCAGGATCTTAAGTTTGGTCACATTGAATCCATTCCGGTGAAGTTCTGAGGAGACTGGGGCCTCTAATCTTTCAGCCAAAGCAGAAGTCTGAGAGTCCCATCTGTGTCTCCTGGAACACTGATGTGGAGAATGGGAGATGGACATCCTCAGGCTGCAAGATCCTCAGTGCATCTGAGACACACACATCCTGCAGATGTAACCGGATGACAAACTTGGCCATCATCATGGCTTCTGGGGAGCTCACAGTGAGTACTGAGGGGTCATGTCATGTTTCCCCGAGTATCTTGCCTGAAATCTAATGGGGGTGTACTGATGGAACATCCTTTGTGTTCATCCAATACCCTATGGTTTAAGTCTTTCAGAAGGTAACCACGGGGAGAGAGGATGGCGCGCCACATTTCCTTGATAAATTAAGTGGGTTAAAAAGCTATGACGCGGAAAATGCTATGTTAAAAAGCTACACACAAAATCAGATGTAATAACTCTATAGTCAGGCTTCCAAAGAGGAACAGGACCAGTAGAATGAACATGTCTTAGGGGGTTTTATTAGACTTGCTTGCATTATATGACTTTTACATGACTTCACATGGAGTAACTGAGAATCCAGTAAATTATCAATCCAAGAAGCTTTCTGTCTCAGCAGCCTCAGCCTGGCACTAACACTTTGGAGTTTCTGGAACACCATTGGTTTCTGTCCACACTGGAAACCTGAAGAATCTGGGTTCTGGCATCAGCCAAGGAACATTGCAGCTAGCAACAATATTAGAATGGATGAACTTACCAGCAAGATGTGAAGGCAATGAGGCAAAAAGCAAAGCTTTCCCCTTAGGCTTCCATTTGTCTAGGCTGCCACTGAAATTTAGGATGAGTCTTCCCATTTCTAACAACCTGATCAATAACACTTCTCAAGGGTGTGCAGAACAGCTTATCTCTTAGTAAATTTCAGATTTAACTAACTTCACCACCAAGAGAAACTGTCACAGACTATAACCAGGCATACCCAATATATTTCACAGGTCTCATTTAATGAGCAGTTACCATATGCTGGGACTTTTTGCTTGAAGCTAATTGTTTATTGGTCAATTTCAAATTTCATGGGCTAGAAGATTGATGCTCAGTGACCTGCTTCATCCTGGAGTTAGTAACTGGTGGAGGTGGGTCCTGAACCTTGGAAAAACCTGGCCCCAAAGTTCTCTTTCTACTAAATTATGGCTGTCAACCAAAAATTGAGTTATAGGAATTCCTAAGTGCCAGCGAAGGTTGATAACACACTGGCATCTCTCAGTGCTCATCTCCAAGTCCAAAGGATGTTCTTCACTCAATTAATGGAGAGAACATATATGAACTACAGTTCCCAGAATCCCTTGCCATTGAAGTCCTGGGTATAGCATAAAGTCTCCATTGAGATATATCCACAATTGGGACCATGATATGAGCAGAGATGAGTGCACTGACTTAATAGAGAAGAAAAGTGTCTTAGTTGGCATGGAAAGTGTCCTTGGCTGATGTATTAAGAACAAGGGCATTTTCCTACTACAGAGCTTGATTGAAACTCAGGATTTACAATGGGACAAGAACAAGAATGTTCCCTTTCAGGTTCTGTGTGGATATATTTTTCTTTGATAAAGCCTTACTCAGTCCCTCTGAGTGGAACCCAGCTCTCATGTCAAAGCAGCAAGAAAAAAAAAAAACAACAAAAAACACTAATACACAATTAACATCATAAGACGCATTTATAAGTAGTTGCATGAATTTATTGTGACCCCACAGAAATGACCATGTCAAAGCAGCCATAGGCTGAGGAGATGGGTGAGTCTGTCAAGTGCTTGAAATGTGGCAAAAGGATCTGAGTACATAAGTTGCCATTCCCTAGGACCCGTGTAAAAAGCCAGGGATGGTGACGCAGGCCTGAAATCTCCCCAGTAGGGAAGGCAGAGACTAGTGGATCATGGGACTCACTGTTGGTGAGCTCCAGGCCAAGGAGATATTCTGCAGACAATATTCCTTATTGTGGCACCCAAGGTTGTCCTCTGGCCTCCGCATTTATGTGCACGCATGTGCACACACATATACAGATGTGCAAAAACCAAAACCAGCGATTATTACACTCCTGTTTTACTGATTAGCAAACAGGCATTTATGGCATCACAGCTCTCATGCCTGGGAGCTGACAAAATCGTGGGCAGTTCTTTTTAAACAGGTTTGTGCCAATGTTGCGTAGAGGACTGTGATGCACTGGATAGGATTATGTATATGTTTTTTGATACAGGGTTTATCTGTGTTAGCCTGGACTCGTTTTGTAGACCAGGCTGGCCTCAGACTTAGAGATCTGCCTGCCTCTGCCTCCCCGAATGCTGGGATTACGGGCATGTGCCACCATGCCCGCCTGGCTAGAATTATCTTTGACACAGAGAAGGCACCATCAATTTTAAAACTATTCATCAATGAACAATATAGGGAAATGACTGATACTTTCAATATAAGTTGAAATGTCTCAGATGCTGTCATCTTGGTTAGTGCTCAGCCCCAGAGACGGAAACAGCTTCAGATGTTTCAAGTGGTGGGGGACTTACTTGAGCACAAAAATATTGGAAAGGATGGAGGTGATCCCTCACAGCTCAACTCAAAGGGTGCAGAAATTGCTAGAATTGCTAGTGTCATGTGTGTTCTATCCCTAGACAATGGCGGTATAAAAAGTTTGGGTGTGGAATTTGGACACAGCTCACCTGCCCTACAGGTGTATGGTAGTTTCCCCTTTTTTGTCTCCTGAAATGTCTCTGTTTATATTACATGGAGAATCTATACTACATCCAGGACCTCTGTGACAAGAGGAATTGTAGTTTGTAGTTTGTAGATGTCCTCTTCAGTATGGACAGCCAAGCAAACACTAGGTATTGGGCGTGAGTAACTCAGGGATGCTATCAGATTGATCAGACTGTCATGGATAACACTCAGATCATTCTGGGACCAGAAGACAGAAATCCTGGACTTTCCTACTAGCACAGGAGGCCTGGGTAAGGTTTTTTTTTCCTTCTGGGAGTGAAGGTGAATTTCAGTTCTATTTCGAGGTCAACGATGGCTCTTCTTCCTGATAGATGGAGTTCTCCTTGTACATCATCAGCCTCGTGGGTACGGTCATCTCCCTGGTATGCCTCGCTTTGGCCATGGCCACCTTCCTGCTGTGCCATGCTGTTCAGAACCACAACACCTACATGCACTTGCACCTTTGTGCGTGTCTCTTCTTGGCCAAGATTCTCTTCCTCACGGGTCTAGACAAGACTGACAACCAGGTTTGTGACCTTTGGGCTGTGTCACCATCCAGCTGTACCTCCTGCCCATGTTCCTCCCCTGCTCATCACTATCTGGTTCCCTCCCATGGGCTTTTCACAGTGTCTCCTGACAGTGTCTTAGTTTTCTTTCCGTAACTGTGATAGAGACCATGGCCAAAAGCAGCTTGGGGAGATCTTCCATGTGTGGGACGCATGTACATGTGGAGGCTGGAAGAAATGAATCAATCCTCTATCACTCTTGCATATTTCTCACTGAAGTGAGGTCTCTCAGTCAAACTAGAGCCAGCCATCATGGCTAGTCTCACTAGCAGGCTTCTTTCCAGGGCTGGAATAACAGATGAGCCACTATGACCCTTTAGCACAAATGTGGGTTCTGGGTATCTAAATTCTGGTCCAGTCTTTACACTTGTGTAGCAAGTGCTTTCGCAATAGAAGTATCTCTCCATGCCTGCTTCAAAACATTATATATCATTTTTGTGTGTGTTTGAATATGTGCATGCGTGTGGGTATGCACAATTCATGGAAATCATAGGTCAAATTGCAGGAGTCAGTCCTCTCCTTTCATAGGATCAAGCTTGGCAGCAAGTGTGTTGGTTATCTCAGTCATCTCATTGGCCTGACCTTGCTTTTTGAGAAGGATCTCTCATTGGTGTGGAACTCACCAAGTAGGAGAAGCTGGCTAGATAGTGATACCCAGGTAATCCTTGTCCCTCTTCCTGCTGCTGAGGCTACAGATGTGCATCTCCATGCCTGGCTTTTGTAAGGATGCTGGGGTGGGACCTATGGGGCATGGAGTGGGCAAAGGCTTCACTGATTGATGACAGACCAAAGAAGAGAGTCCATACAAATCCAGTTGGTGAATGAATGCGCATAGAGGACTTGCTTACAGAGCACAGGCTCACCTACAGGAGTATGGATGACTCCTAAACAGTTGCATCACTGAAGAGACCAGTCCTGTCACAGATGGTGACCTCATGGAAGCTGCACTGTGGAATCCTTCTTCCCTTAACTGTCCTTTGCTTATGCACCATGACTTTTTCTAGGGTTACTTTCAGCTGAGGGAACCCTGGAGGAAGTACACCTGGAGTCTCAAGCAGCCATCTTATCCTTCCCTTGATTGGTTCTATTACCTGACATTAAACCTTTCTCTGTTAGTTTTCTTGGATACTTAGCCAAGGTACTCACTGCTTCTAGATGGGTGACTACTTTATGCTCACTGGAAAACAGGCTGGGTTATTTGAGAAAACCGATCTTTCCCTTGCTCTTATACCTCAATCTTCTGTCTGTGTTGGGGAATCCTGACCTGCAAATTTCTCCCCTGCAGATGGCCTGTGCTATCATTGCGGGATTTCTACACTATCTTTTCCTTGCCTGCTTCTTCTGGATGCTGGTAGAGGCAGTGATGCTCTTCCTGATGGTGAGAAACCTGAAGGTTGTGAATTATTTCAGCTCACGCAACATCAAGATGCTGCATCTTTGTGCCTTTGGTTATGGACTCCCAGTTTTGGTGGTTGTAATCTCTGCCAGTGTACAGCCATGGGGCTATGGGATGCATAATCGGTGAGTGTCATTTCTTTCTTTATGAAGACCTTGCTGCCAGGCTTCATGATGATAATTGTACTAGCTACCTTGATTGATGCCATGACAATAATGATAGGGATAATAAAATATAGGGAAGAAGGTTTTATTTTCAGTATACTTTGAAGTATGTTTATTTAAAGTATATTTAATGTACAGGCCATTTATTTATTGTATATTGTAAATATTTATATATTTTAAATATATATTTATATATTGTAAATATACTCCCTGTATATTTAATGTACAGGGAGTCAGGGAAGAGACTCAAAGCAGGAACCTGGAGGTGGAAACCATGGAGAAATGATGCTTTCTGGCCCTCATCAATTAGTGTTTAAGAAAACAACACACACATATGCCTACAAGCCAATCTGATGGAGGCAGTTTCTCAACTGAGGTTTTCTCTTCTCAATGACTATAATTTGTATTGAGTTAAAAACATTACCTGGAATAACATGCCAACCACAGAATACCTACGTGATCTCTCAGAGCACTGACTCCAGCAGTGATCTGGAGTCATCAAATGACCAGATGGAGGCCTTTCACTTGACACTGATGGGTAATGTATATAGGCAAGAAGACACATTTCCAGGGTAGAAGTCATGGGCCCATGGGTGTTCAAAGCCAATGCTTTAAGCCTATAGCTTTAAGCTCCAGGCTGTAGAATTCAGAGATTTATGGCTCTGAAGTACTCAGGTTGGAATTTCATTTCTGTGGTTCTGTTAAATTACTTTAGCAAAAGGGAGCATAGAAGAGTAGGGGATCTAGTTCAGCTTGCAGTTGTAGGTTATAGTCCATCGCTGTGAGGAGCCAAGGCAGGGATTTCAAATATATGGTCACATGGCACTCACAGTGAGGAGAAGAGAGAAACAAATGCACACATACTTACTTGCTTCTACTCAGCTCCATTCTCCCACTCTTACAGTTTAGGACGTTCTCTCTAGAGAATGATTCCACCCACAGTGGTCTGGGTTTTCCCACATCAGTGAACTTAATTCAGACAATGGCCAACTGACCCTACTAATCTTCATCTTCCCAGCAAGCCCCCTACTACTTTCAGGTCATTTTTGGGGGGGTAGGGTGACCTCATAATTTTAATTGGGGTTACTTATAGAGTATGGGTGAGGGTTTATTTACAGGGTTGTGGGCAATGAAGAAAATGCCTCTCTCTTAACAACTATTAGCTACCTACATATTTTCAATAAGAAGTGGGGCCTCATGGTGTACTCAAGGCAGCTGGGTTAACATGAGGGAAGATGCTTGACTAGCAGTCCTCTGTTCAAGGCAACTGGGGTGCCAAGGGGGAGTGTAAGAGCTATCAGTTAGATAGTCAACTCACCCTGGACCCCAACATTTTTAACTTACTTAAAGAAAAATATGAAAATGTGTCCTTGAAATCAGGGCTTATCATGAACATGAAATGCTGGTTTAACAATAGTTTACTATAGTAATGAATTTGATGTATGCCCTTTAAGTAGAGGACATACAACTGCAATTTCCCAGGATGAGAGTGTCAAGTTGGGCTAATTTGACTGTTTTCCTAAATTCATAAATAAAACCTTATTAGTTTATATAATGCTACTTGTACGTATGTTTTTATGGCTGGATATTTATTATTGGATAACAGATTGGTATGCTCTTCCCTAAAGAAGATTATTTTTCCCACTCTTGGCATTCCTTAGTTTTACCTATAATTGTCTGTGTAGGGTGAGACCTTATGGGCTTTCCCCCATATGAACCCTATGAACTACAATGATACATGGCATGATAGCCTTATAGGTGCAACACTGATATGCATATCTTGGTGGTAACCAACAGTCTCTAGGTGGACTTAAGACTCACTCAACACAGGCCCTGCACCTCCACTGAGAGCTGTCTTGGTGTTGTGGGCACAGGAGAGCCAGTTCTGAGGACACGAGAGTGGGAGAGCTGTCCCCCACCCCTCCACTGGGCACAGCTGGAGAGCTGGACCAGGTGCTGTGAATGCAGGAGAGCTGTCATGTTGATCAACTCAGCTACTACCCAGGCCCAGATCCAGGGCTTTGAGTTGGCCAACCCCAACATCTGTCATCTATAAACTGCTGGAGTATGTGAAGGGGTTAGTGCTCCAGAACCAAAGCTTCAAGATCTCCACAACACAGAGCAACGACAGGATATCCAAGAGGAGGATCCAGTATTGATAGTGTAGCTGAAGCCAGAGGTCTTAAACCAGACCAATGATTCACTGCAGTGAAGATTTGCAAGGAAAGTTGTTTGGGCAAAAGGGTGTACTGTATGACTCATTTCAGTTTCTACGGTGCAGCATCTATTTATTTGTTTATTATTTATTTATTTATTTATTTATTTATTTATTTATTTATTTATTCTTCTGGGGTGAAGTTGCAACGGCAGAGGGTGAATATGTAGGGGTAGAGAAATAAGTGGGATTGGGTGAATGATATGAAATTTAAAAAGAATCAATAAAAAGTTTTAAAAGAAAAGACCCACTCAACAAGTGAGAAATCACTGCTGGTACTAGAAACTTAGCCAACTATCCAAGGCTAGTGAAGTCATGGATGTTGGAGGACATCCATACAACCAATACTTTATTAAATCAGTATATTTTCTAACCACATTCTAAATATTTGTCCTCATGTCCAAAGATAAATATCGTTATTACTCCTCACCAAGGAAGCTTCTCTGTGCAACAGAGACTACTATAGAAAATCACAACCAATCAAAATTTAGAGTTGTGGGGCCCAGTCCCAACTCATACATCTACAAAGCACTCCTGCACGTAAGGCCAAGGGAATACCGAGGGCGAGGGAGTAGAAAGATTATAAGACCTCGATGATCCGTAATGAGTTTGTACTGGAGGGATTGTCGGAGCTGAGGTTTGAATGGCACAGTGTGCTGCTGGAGAGTACACAAAAAGAAAGTTCTGTGAAAGTTATGAACTTATCATTACCCTGGACCCATTCTAGGCAGAGGTCTCAGGAGTATTTGCCCAGGGTGTATTTTGGTCCATATGAGATTGAGATACATCCACCCTGCAATCAGAATTTTGGAATAAATCTCACTCTGCAGTGTTCTGCAGGTTGTACAATTGCCAAGCCAGTGTCTGAGACAAATGCTCATGGCTCCTGTCTTTTTCTCTACAGCTGCTGGCTGAACACAGACACTGGGTTCATCTGGAGTTTCCTGGGACCAGTCTGCACGATCATCACAGTAAGGAAAACATTTGCTCAAGTACATTTTGGTGACAAAGGAGAGCCCAATTAGAAAGTATTATCACTCTGCAAATCTTGATACTCTCAAAACTCTTTCCTAAGATTCTCAGTTCTTGAGATTTCTGAGTTAGGGTGTAATGTATCCATCTGTCACTTTTCATTCACGCTCAGGTATGAAATGTGTAGGAGGGCCAACAACCTTTCTTACTCATGCTTTCTGTTTTAGGGAGAATAGAGCTGTCATTCTCTTCTAGGTCTAGATGTTGAATGGAAGACAAAGTAAAAATAATTTAACTGCATTTAGTATATACAAGCAGGGAGATGTTTTTCAGTCTGAGGTCATCCTGGTCTACATAACAAATTAAGTTTTAAACCAGCTAGGGCTAAATTGTTATGTAGAAAGGACCTGTATACAAAAGAAAAAAAGAAAGGGAAGGACAGAAGGAGCAATGGTCATGATTAGAAAAAATTAGATGGGAAATTTTGAAAAATAAGCAGAATCCAAGTGACTTTATTTATGTTGCTGCAATAAAATACCATGACCAAAAACATATCAGGAGAGAAAAGGGTTTATTTCAGCTTACAGGCCTATCCTCGCTAATTTTATGTCAACTTGACACAAGCTAGAGTCATCTGAAAGGAGATTAAGAAAATTAAGAAATTAATTAAATTAAGAAAAATGCCTCCATAAAATCCAGCTGCAGGGCATTTTCTTAGTGGTTGGTGGGGAAGAGTCCAGCTCTCTGTGGTGGTGCCATGCTTTGGCTAGTAGTCCTGGGTTCTGTAAAAACTCAGAGTGACAGAGTCATGGGGAGTGAGCCAGGAAGCAGCACCCCTCCATGGCCTCTGCATCTATCAGCTCCTGCTTCCAGGTTCCTGCCCTGTTTGAGTTCCTGTCCTGACTTTCTTCAGTCGTGAACAGTGATATGGAAGTGTAAGCCCAATAAACCCTTTCTTACCCAACTTGGTTTTTGGTCATGGTGTTTCACTGAAGCAATAGAAACCTTAACTAAGACAATATCACAGTCCATCACCAAGGGAAGTCAGGATGAGAACACAAGCAGGAACTTGAAGCAGAAATCCATGAAGCAATGGTGCTTGCTGGCCCAGGCAAGACTCCTGCTTAGCCAGCTTTGTTACACATGCCAGGACCACCTGCTTTGGGAATGGAACCTCCTACCCTGGGATTCGTCCTCTAACATCTGTAAGCAATCAAGACAGTGCCCTACAGACATGCCCACAGACCAATCTGTCCTGGGCAACCCCTCAACTGAGACTTTTGTCTCTGGTGACTGCATGCTGTGCCAAGTTGATGGTCAAAGCCAACTGTGGCAAACCCCATCTCTTTGCCTATTTGCCTTCCATCCAGCCTCCACTTCTTATCAAATGATGTTTCTGCTTGCTGTCACCCATAGTGCTGTGTTTTCTTGTGTCATTTGTAGTTTATTCTAGATTGTAGAAAGGCCTTCCATGCTTCTGAATTGGCAGGACGAATATAGTGAAAATGGCTAGGTTTTATTACCAAAAGTAATCTACATATTCAGTGAAATTTCCATCAAAATCCTTTACAGATGTATAAAAAAATAATTGAAGAGTTTACATGGAACTACTATTAGGACCAAATTAAATAATGATGAAGTACACAGCAGATTTTATATGAAAGAGGTTTATTAGATGGAGTTGAAAAGAGAGAAGAGAGGAAGGCATGATGGGGTAAAGAGAGAGGGGCACCCCAACAGAGAGAGGGCAAGAGGGTGCAAGAGCTGAGAGAGAGAGAGAGAGAGAGAGAGAGAGAGAGAGAGAGAGAGAAAGGGTGGGTTGGCCCCTTTAAGGAGCAACGTAACCATGCCTGCCAGGGCTACCTGGTTGGTGACATTTGATGACATCATTGGTTGCTAGGCAACCCAGAAATGGGCTCCATAATACTAACTAGTACAAAAGGCCACAAAAAACAAAATCAGTCCTAAGGAGAAGGAACACAATTGGAGTTATCACAAATTATAATGACCTCAAATTATACTGCAAAGCCATAGTGACAAAGGCCACCCAAAATTGACACAAATCAATAGAGGATCCAGAATAAGAAGACAAACTATCCTAATTTAATTTTTTTGACAAAAATGTCAAAATGTGTAGTGTGGGAAAGAAAGAGACAATAGTTAGTTGTAAGCTCAGAATGATGTAACATTCTTGGGGTAGTAGAGGATATGTCCCTCCAGGAATGTGGTGAGGTCTTATAGGTTATTTTCAATCTGCAGGTGTGCATCGTATCTTAGGAGTACACTAATAATGAACAACATCTATTTTGTTATCTTAGGTTTGGAGACTTGAAATTTGATATGATGGATCAAACTCTCACAATAGCATGAAGAATGGATCTATTCAGTGGCCTTCTCTTCTCATTGCTTCCTTTCTTCTTTTCCTCCTCCCCCCTTTTGCTGATATTTCCCTTTTACTGGCTGTCATCTTGGTATCTCCCCTTTGTCCTTACTTGTTTTCTTCTCTTTGCCAGGATTTTTGTTCTAGATTACCATTTCATTAACAATGTGGTCCTGGCTTTATGTGGTGGTCGTCTTCCCTCATATGGAGCCAAAAGCATCCCCTTTATTTAACAAATGACTGTCAAAACCCCAGGGAGTCAGAATTCTCATCTGTAGTAGATGTCAGGTGTGTACAATATGTAGCCTGTGGGCTGCATGTGCCTCAGAATAGTGATGAGTGAAGCCCAATGGAATTGTGGGTGGCAACCTTATATCACAATGTCAGAAGGTTAGACATCTCTGATGACTCTGATATTTTGGCTCTACAGCTATGACTCATTTGTGAATCTGGTGTTTTCTTTCATGATCTTAGAAACTTAGCTGTGAATCTAGGAGAATGTCTTTTAGCAGTTGATAGTGACTGGTTTTCAGAATTTGATATTCCTAAAAGCCGAAATTGACCCTGATATACTTCTGTTCATCACCATTGTCTCCCTTTTATGCTTTCCTCTAAATTTCTCCATTTGATGAGGACACCTTGATAAATCTATGGTTTTTCTTCTGTCTTCAAGGTGATTGTCTCAGTTACGGTTACTATTGGTGGATTAAACACCATGACCGAAAGCATCTTGGGGAGGATGGAGTTTATTTCATTCAGAGTTCCATATAAAAATTCACCATCAAAGGCAGTGAAGGCAAGATCTCAGCAGGGCAAGGACCTGGAGGCAGGAGTTAATGTCGAGACCATGGAGAGGTGTTGTTTACTGGCTTGCTCCTCAGAGCTTTTATAGCTAGCTTTGTTATGGTACCCAGGGCCACCAGCCCAGGGATGGCTCCACCCACGATGATCTGGGCCCTTCTCCATCAGTTATCAGCCAAGAAAATGTCCTACAGACTTGACTGCTGCCTGCTCTTGGAGGATTTTTTTCAGTGAAGACACCTTTCTCTCAGGTTAATCTAGCTTGTGCCAAGTTGACATAAAACTAGCCAACATAATGGCTGCCATCTCCTCAACCAGGATTGTCTGGTTGTGGGATGGCCTTTCCTGGGAGGGTGTAATCAAGTGTCTGCTCACTCCAGATAGGGAATCCAGGACATGCCAAAGTAATGATTCTACCACAGTCCAGCTTGGCAGCCCAATGGACTTACTGGGGTTACATACAGGAACATTGGTGGGGGTAACTCTGAGCATAGATGGCTGGAAGGCAGCAGGATCATTGGAAAGTTCACCCCAAACTGGGGGGCAACTCATGAAAGACCTCGCAAATGTCCTTCTATGACACCAGGCAGTTAGCAGACTGGAGAGACTCCCTTCCCAGGAGTTGACTGATGTTTCTATAACCCAGGGATGGGATTGGTAAATATTGTAAATTTAAGGAGATTCCTGAGATTTGTGAGTTGTTTGTCTTCTGAGTCTTGCCTGTAGGACAGACTCTTTCAACATGAAGGAGATTGTTACACAATCATGATCCTTTTCCACCCAGCTTTGTCACATTCCCTAATGTCCCCCTTATGGCCTTCCTGTATGCTCACTAGTTTGGCTCTAGCAAAGCATTTTCTTCTCCCTTATAATGCCAGGCCTGTCATTCAGGGTGGTTTTGGGAATCAGACCTTGTGATTTCAAGATAGTTAGGACAGTGCCTGGCATTGGATACTCCTTAAAACAGTAGGTCTGAGAAATTATGGGAATAAAATAATAATGAAATGAGTATCTCTTAAAAATTTAAAGTATTTTTATATTTCACATATCATTCTCATGGGGTGGAATTCAGGAAGTAGTTGGGCACTTCCAAAACTGTCATGCCACTATTGCACCAGTGGGCATGTCTTGCCTGGCAGGGTGGTATTGTGTTAACTTTATACAGGGTTCAGTGAGGTCAGACTGTTGATGACTGCTCTTTCCTGCCCAGCACAGAGCCCTTTGGAACTATGGATGGTGGCTAGCATGAAGGAAGCTGAAATGTTTATTTCATCAATTTCCAAATCGTAAACTATATTTCCTCCTAGAAGTTTTAGTTGTCAGGAAAAACAATCCCCCTATACCATAGCC